ATCTATTGTTAGTATGAAGAACTATCACCAAAAGTATTTCTTAGGTTTGACTTATCCAACAAGATTTTCCTAGTGGCTTAAGTGGTTACAAAAACACATGTTAGCAGGCTTTACTGCATATAGAAGTGTGTTCTTTTCCTCACTGCATGGCACCCACGTTGCATTGCACCCACGTTGATCATGTAACAGATGTAAATAGGCCTTGCTTTCCTGAGCTGCTTCTGTAGAATTTCACATCAGCTTTTGACAGGCTACAGTGTGAAAGTTTGTCTTACATAAAAATCTAGTAGTTTACAAGTTTTCTTCCCACTGTAAAAGTGTTATTTGGAAAGTGTAGGAAAAACATAACTTATTTGAAAATTTGAAAAAATGACATCATAAAGCTGTGTAGTATTTTTTAGATCAATTAACTTCTTAACTTGTTCCTCAAATGTAGTTTGAATCCTTGTCTTATGTATCATTTTCTTCAAAATACAGGTAGAGGTCCGTGGTGGAGGGAAGATAAATACGTAAGCTTGGGTTTTACAAAGCTAAATTAAAAAGTACTTGTGGGAAAGGAAAATTAAAATAATTAACTAAGATATTAGTCTTTTAAAATGATGTTATTCCTTAAAGTTTAGCAACTGATTAACAGTTGCATTACAGATGTCTAATTTTTTTAAGTGTAAATAGCAGAAACACATTCATCAATGAATTCAAAGATTATCATGTTCATGTGTATTAATCTGTCTCCGTGGTATTTAATTAATTGAAATGCAAAGTCATGATAAGTGAGACTGGGACTTAGTATGGCATATTTCTGTTCTGTCAGGTCTTTATTTCTTAAAACATAACATTTTTCCTCTGCTGTGTTTTAATTTCATCCTTTCTTTTTTTCCTGATGCTGCTACTTCTTTCTCCCATGCCTATATTATTTTTGCTGCTTCTCTCTCTCCCAATCTAACGCTCACTTATTTCTTTTTCTAATACTTGATCTTTGTAAGATGAATAGAATGAGGAAAATGTATGTCCACGTGAGCAAAAGCTGCACAGAGAATGGCTAAAAATGGCTTGTCAGAAGTAGAGGGGAGGACAGCAGAACTTGACATCATAAAGCTGTGTAGTATTGCAGGAGAGAAAATGAGTCAAAATATTTACAAAGACTATGTATAACTAAAACAAGGTTTAATAAATGAAGAGATTTGTAAAAATGAACTCCTTAAAAGACATTTGGTATGGCATCAAGTAGAAATGACAGGTCCATGAATCAAATGAGATGATAAGCATCTGAATAAAAATTTAAAATAATTTCTTTCCAGTCTTAGCAATGTATTGTGTTTTCTTTGTGGAACACCAAAGTATTCCACAAACAATTTTTCTTCTCAAGATTCTAGTGAACATCACTTCATAAAATATGTTTGAAGAGTAGCAGTATTTCATTTTGGTCTGCTCTCTAGGTTTTTAATAAATGGTGTATACCTGCTGCTATCACCATCACATTTTAGAGCCTAAGTCAAGTAGCAGACTTCCCAAAATATTATTTCCAGGTATTATAATAGGTCACATTGTTTTGCTTAACTGTTCTTCCTCAGATATCCTGAATACTTTGCAAGTCCTCAACCTATTTTATTGCAGCTCTTTCCTCCTTGCCTCCTGCTGCATCTGCATTTGTTTTTCTTACAGCTAGACATCAAATCAAACAATTTCTGCTGAATTTGCCGCATATATGCGGTACTATAAACAGGAACTGAATTTAGATTTGGGGAAAACACTGTTTTATTCATTCAGATAGGTAATATAACTACTTTGACTGAAGGGAAAGTCTGTCTCATTTTAAAACTTTGAATTTTCAGCTCTGTCTCCAAATCAATGTTTGAAAAGCCTTGTGGGAATAAAGTTCTTTTAAATTTTCTCTAATTCAAAAGCAAAATGGCGGGGAGAGGTAGGTGTCATCAGAGATGTATTTAACACTCTCTTCAGAGACAAAAGTAAATTATTGTAGATTAAAAAAAAATTCCAAAGTTAGGTTTTCTGCTGGTAAGCTTCTATTGCTAATTTTGATTAATGTAATTTTCTCAGTGTTTTCAAGTACTGCTATTAGTCAGTCTAAACAGTAAAGATCATAAGCACAGGGAAAGTGTTCAGTACGTTCTCTAGGGGAGCATAACGTCAGCTGCTCTGAAGGACATAGATTGTAACCATACTTCAAGGAAAAAAAAATCATTTGCATTAGACCTACTTTTGGAGGGGTTGATTAAAGAAGGGAAGCAACTTTGATTGTCTGTTCATTCTAGTTGCAGTGTTGCTTAATTTCATATGCGTAGATTCGTATTCAGAATGTGATAGACTCCTATTGCTTTCAGTAGTGCATGCATTTGCATGCAACAGACAAGTTTCTATTCCCTTACTGGGATAGATGGTTCCTAAGTATTTGTGTTTTTCCTCAGACATCTGTGGGGTTTACTCTTCCAGATGTGTATCAGTTTTTCATTCCAGAATCTGCAGTTTCATCAGGAAGAATGTATGTGAAGCTTTTGCTGAAGCTTTTGTCACTAGTGAGATGGGCTGTACCCTATTATTTTCAGTATCAGAAAGAAATCCTCTTATTTTCCTTAACAGTTTTCATAAAGCCAAATTTAGATACCAAAATAAATAGCCAGATTTTCAGAACGAGTTGATGATTGTCAAGGCGCTTAGTCTTTTTTAAAAAAGTTTACTTTTCCAGGGCCTAAACAGAAACTAGAAACCAAGCTGTTTTTTGAAACCTGGCCTTTATATTGAGACTGAATGAATGAGGATGGGTTTGCTTATTCCCAACTAGGATGGGAATGAGGTTTACAGACTGAAGATTGCTTTCTCCAATTGCTTGAGTTTTCTATGTTTTGTTTTTCCATTTGTGCCTTGTGAGAAATGAATAGTCTTCGCCTTTTCCCATTCTGTCCTGAGATGTGGTTGTCATCAAGACAGCAGGAGAAATTAGTGTTTTGCATACAGTTCTAGTCATTTTAGTCCATTCCTAAATTAATTTTAATAATAAAAAATACGGGTTTCTGTAAGTTACCATATTGTATTTGATTTAGAGGTGCAATATAAGGCAATGATTTTGCATTCTAAGCACTAAGTAGATCTAGTTTTGGCTTTTTGATGAACTTTCTTTTCAATCA